TGGCAAAGGAGGGTTCTGATCCAAGGAATTAAAGCAGCCATTTCCTTCTGTGAATCAAACCTGATTACCACTCATTTCCCAGGCACTGCATAACTTGAGTGTGTTTAATACCTCCACACGAATATAGTAACAATTATAAATTAAGCATCATAAATCTGATAAAAGTTTTGGAAAACATTAAATAGGTAAGGAGGGAAGCCATCTCTTGAACATGATTAAGACATGTGGAATGTCCTAGCTTAGCAAGAGGGGCAACAGGCAAGTGGCTGAGAGCAACTGCTTGTAGCCACCAACCTGCCCATACCACAGATATACAAAGAAATCTATGGCATGTATTACCAAATCTCACAATACTTTTTTTTTTTTGTGGGAGGGGAGTTAGGTGAGTAACACTAAGATTTTCCTGCATCATTAAATTTTTTGTTGTGCTTTTTATGTTATGATCATAGTGCTTTATACAAGGACTTTAAAAACAAAAGAAATAATTATTAAATGTTAATGAAAGGAAGGCAGTGATGTTGTGCATTGGGCAGGGAGGTAGAACATCTTGTAGGAGTGAGAATGAGCCAGATGTAAGTGTGGAGTGTGCACTTAAGGTAGTGGGTAGAATGAAATTAGGTAAAGCAGTTGGGATAGATGGACTCAAGACAGAAAGTTGAAAGCAGCAGAGATGATGTTTTAAAGTGGCTGGTACATTTGATATACCTTTGAAGAGTTTCGAGAGTTTCACTACTCTCGGAGCCCAGCCATGGGCCAGGCTCGTCTGGTGCTTGCCTGGTCAACCAGGCTGTTGCTGCTGGAGGCCCACTGCCCCACATGTCCATCACAGCCTGGTTGATCTGGCACCTGGTGAGATAGTTGTCCAGTTTCCTCTTGAAGGCTTCTACACTTGTTCCAGTCATGTTTCTGATATCTTCTGGTTGATACAGTGTTCCCTTATTGTCCTTACTGCACCCCTGCTCCTCACTGGGTTTATTCTGCACTTCCTCCCATATCTCTCACTCCAGTATGCTGTTATGCCAGCATGCAGATTTGGGACCAGGCCCTCAAGTACTTTCCAGGTATATATATTATCATGCATCTTTCCCTCCTCGGCTCCAATGAGTACATGTTCAGGACTTGAAGGTGTTTCCAGTAATTTAGGTGCTTTACTGGCTCAAGGTGAGCCATAAACGATCTCTGTACTTGTTCCAGCTCTGATATTTCTCTTGCTTAGAATGGGGCCATTAGCACTGTGCAATATTCTAAGTGAGGGAACACTAGCAATTTGGAGTGTGTCACTACTGGCATTATTTCCCTTGTTTTGAAAGTTCTCAATATCCACCCCATCATCTTCCTGGCTGTCATGATCTTTGTCTTATGGTCTTTAAAAGAAAGGTTAGCTGACATAATTATTCCCAGATATTTTATGTGTTCCTTTTGTTCCATTTGGTGACCCTCTTGAGTTTTGTATATACAGTGGACCCCCGCATAACGATCACCTCCGAATGCGACCAATTATGCAAGCGTATTTATGTAAGTGCGTTTGTAAGTGTATGTTTGGGGGTCTGAAATGGACTAATCTACTTCACAATATTCCTTATGGGAACAAATTCGGTCAGTACTAGCACCTGAACATACTTCTGGAGTGAAAAAATATCGTTAACCGGGGGTCCACTGTAGTTCCTTTTGAGTTCTTCATTCTTTCCATACCTAAGCAGCTGCAGCTTATCACCACTGAACGTCATCACCACTGAATGTCATGTAGTTCTCCACTGCCCACTGGAAAACCCTGCTAATGTCTTCCTGTAATTTTTAAGTGTCCTCTACCACAGTGACTTCCATGCTTATTTTAGTGTCATCTGTAAATGATGATACAAAAGTGCGATGGGTGTTTTTATCTATGTCTGCTATGAGGATGAGAAACAGCAGGGGTGTCAGGACAGTGCCTTGGGGCACTGAGCCTTTTACCTTGCTGATGCTGGATTTTGCTCTGTTTACTACTACTTTTTGTGTTGTGTGTTAGGAACCCGAAAATCTATCTGCCTACCTTTCCCGTAATGCCCATGGCCCTCATTTTGTGCGCTATCACTCCCTGAGTGCCTATGTCAAATACCTTTTGCAAAATCTGTGTAAATCACATCTGTGTTTGATCGTCTTCCAACGCTCCATAATTCTGTCACAACGGTTCAACAGCTGTGACAGGCATGATCATCATTCTCTAAAACCATGCTGGTTTGGGTCATGCTCGTTATGCTGGTCCATGAAATTTGTTATCTGCAGTCTCATCATTCTTTCAAAGATTTTTATGATATACACCTACCATCCGACTTACGACTGAGTTCGGTTCCAAGAAACCGGTCCTAAGTCGAAATGGTCGTAAGTCGAACTTTACTACTGAATATCAACAAAACATTTTTGTAAAGACTTTATTTTATTGTTTTATTTTGGTATTTCATGTTTTACTTTACTTTTTATGTTGTTAGTATTGTATTTTATACTGTAAGGTTTAGGATAAACACTGTGTACAACACAAATAGTTGTTTATTTCCCAGAAATTTGGCATAAAAAACACGGTTGTAAGTCGAGTGGTCGTAAGTCGAGTGGTCGTAAGTCGAGCAGGTCATAAGTCGGATGGTAGGTGTACTTTTACCTTTATACCTTTAAAGAGTTTCAAGAGTTTATCTACTCTCTGAGCCCGGCCATGGGCCAGGCTCGTCTGGTGCTTGCCTGGTCAACCAGGCTGTTGCTGCTGGAGGCCCGCTGCCCAATATATTCATCACAGTCTGGTTGATCTGGCACCTGGTGAAGATACTTGTCCAGTTTCCTCCTGAAGGCTTTTACACTTGTTCCAGCAGTGTTTCTGATATCTTCTGGTAAGATGTTGAAAAGTCTGGGACCCCAGATGTTGATACAGTGTTCCCTTATTGTCCCCACTGCACCCCTGCTCCTCACTGGGTTTATTTTACACTTCCTCCCATATCTCTCACTCCAGTATGTTGTTATGGCAGTGTGCAGATTTGGGACCAAGCCCTCGAGTACCTTCCAGGTATATATTATCATGTGCCTCTCTCTCCTCCGCTCCAATGAGTAAATGTTCAAGACTCACAGGCGGTCCCAGTAGTTTAGGTGCTTTACTGGCTCAATGTGAGCCGTAAACGATTTCTGTATTTGTTCCAGCTCCGATATTTCTCCTGCCTTGAACGGGGCCGTCAGCACTGAGCAATATTTTAAGTGAAGGAGCACTAGCGATTTGAAGAGTGTCACCATCGGCATTATTTCCCTTGTTTAGAAAGTTCTCAATACCCACCCTGTCATCTTCCTGGCTGTCGTGATCTTTGTCTTGTTATGGTCTTTAAAAGAAAGGTCTGCTGACAATTATTCCTAGGTCTTTTACGTGTTCCTTACGTTCTATTTGGTGACCCTCTTGAGTTTTGTATATAGTGCTAATTTTGAGTTCTTTATTCTTTCCATACCTAAGCAGCTGGAACTTAAAACCACTGAATGTCATGTTGTTCTCCACTGCCCACTGGAAAACCCTGTTTATGTCTTCCTGTACTTTTTCAGTGTCCTCTACTGTACTGACTTTCATGCTTATTTTAGTGTCATCTGCAAATGATGATACAAAAGTGTGCTGGGTGTTTTTGTCTATGTCTGCTATGAGGATGAGGAACAGCAGAGGTGCCAGGACAGTGCCTTGGGGCAATGAGCTTTTGACCTCGCTGATGTTGGAACTTGCCCTGTTCACTACTACTTTTTGTGTTCTGTGTGTTAGGAAACTGAAAATCCATCTGCCTACCTTCCCCATAATGCCAATGGCCTTCATTTTCTGCGCTATCACTCCATGATTGCATTTGTCAAACGCTTTTGTAAAATCTGTGTAAATCATATCTGCATTTTGGTCGTCTTCCAGTGCCTCCGTAACTCTGTCATAATGGTTCAGCAGCCATGCTGTCATAATGGTTCAGCAGAACCATGCTGGTTCAGGTTATGTTGGTTGTGCTGGTCCATGAAATTTGTAATCTGCCGTCTCATCACTCTTTCGAAGATTTTTATGATGTGAGAGGTTAGGGCTACTGGTCTGTAATTTTTAGTTAGTGCTCTACTACCTCCCTTATGCAAAGGAGCTATGTCTGCACTCTTTAATGCCTCTGGTATATCACCTAGATCTAAGCTCTTTCTCCTAAGAATACTGAGGGCTCATGCTAGTGATACTTTGCACTTCTTTATAAATAGAGCATTCCATGAATCTGGTCCAGGTGCTGAGCGAGTGGGCATGTTTTCCATTTCTTTTTCAAAATCTATGGGATTTGTACTAATGTCAGTTAGTTGGTCTGTGTGGCCTTCTTCTGGAGTGAAAAATATTTCAGCATTTTCTACCTTGCTGTCATTTAGTGGGTTGCTGAACACCAACTCATACTGTTAGGGCTACTGGTCTGCAATTTTTAGCTAGTGCACTACTACCTCCCTTATGCAAAGGAGCTATGTCTGCACTCTTTAAGGCCTCCGATATTTCACCTAGATTTAAACTCTTTCTCCAAAGAGTACTGAGGGCTCATGCTAGTGGTACTTTGCACTTCTTTATAAACAGAAGTGTAAAGTACCACTAGCATGATTATTATTATTATAATAAAAAAGAAGTGCTGCACCACTAGCATGAGCCTTCAGTATTCTTTGGAGGTAGAAGAGCACTAGTATATGCATAAAAAAAAAGGTAAGCTGGACTTTTGCCCACACACACACACACACACAAATACACAAGTCCTGTAGGTGGGAAGTACAGTGCCTGTACTCTGAGGGAGGGGTGGAGATCTAATAATTCAGAGGACCATCTGATATGTGATATCAGTGAATGAGTTTTCTTTTTGCCAGGTCACACTATGTTAGTGAGGAATGGCTGGTATGTTATAAAAAAATGTTTGGAAGATAAGTATAAGTTTTTCATATGCAATGTGTTCAAATTTATAAGTATGAAACTGGAAAGTTTTTCATATGTAATGTGTTCAAATTTAGTCACTTACCACACATAGACATGTTCCAGAGCCTTTCTAAGAGCAGAGTTGGGCTGATGACCTGTCTGGATCAACTGGCATGTCAGTGATGCCACCTGCTTCATTTGAGATATGCTTGGCTGTTCATACACTGTTAAATTTAAGAATAAATATTAACCCACCATTTTTTTTAACAAACTGAATACACAATATTCTAAAATGGCAATTTTTTTTTAAATCTGATAACAAAAAAGAGAAGGTGTAGAGTTAATAAAAGTATTAGTCAGAGGGCTGAAGAGGGTTTGTTGAGGTGGTTTGGTCATTTAGAGAGAATGGATCAAAGTAGAATGACATGGAGAGCGTATAAATCTGTAGGGGAAGGAAGGCAGGGTAGGGGTCATCCTCGAAAAGGTGGGAGGGAGGGGGTAAAGGAGGAGTTGTGGGTGAGGGGTTTCGACTTCCAGCAAGCGTGCGTGAGCGTGTTAGATAGGAGTGAATGGAGACGAATGGTATTTGGGACCTGACGAGCTGTTGGAGTGTGAGCAGGGTAACATTTAGTGAAGGGATTCAGGGAAACCGGTTATTTTATATAACTGGACTTGAGTCCTGGAAATGGGAAGTACAATGCCTGCACTCTAAAGGAGGGGTTTGAGATATTGGCAGTTTGCAGGGATATATTGTGTATTTTTATATGTATATACTTCTAAACTATTGGCAGAAAGGTGGGCTAGTGCAAAGATGATTAGTGGGGGGGTTGAAGAGGGTTGGAATAGTTTTAAAAATGCAGTATTAGAATGTGGGGCAGAAGTTTGTGGTTATAGGAGGGTGGGGGCAGGAGGAAAGAGGAGTGATTGGTGGAATGATGAAGTAAAGGGTGTGATAAAAGAGAAAAAGGTAGCTAACGAGAGGTTTTTACAAAGCAGAAGTGTTATAAGAAGAGCAGAGTATATGGAGAGTAAAAGAAAGGTGAAGAGAGTGGTGAGAGAGTGCAAAAGGAGAGCAGATGAAAGAGTGGGAGAGGCACTGTCAAGAAATATTAATGAAAATAAGAAAAAATTTTGGAGTGAGTTAAACCAGTTAAGAAAGCCTAGGGAAAGTATGGATTTGTCAGTTAAAAACAGAGTAGGGGAGTTAGTAGATGGGGAGAGGGAGGTATTAGGTAGATGGAGAGAATATTTTGAGGAACTTTTAAATGTTGAGGAAGAAAGGGAGGCAGTAATTTCATGCACTGGCCAGGGAGGTATACCATCATTTAGGAGTGAAGAAGAGCAGAATGTAAGTGTGGTGGAGGTACGTGAGGCATTACGTAGAATGAAAGGGGGTAAAGCAGCTGGAACTGATGGGATCATGACAGAAATGTTAAAAGCAGGGGGGGATATAGTGTTGGAGTGGTTGGTACTTTTGTTTAATAAATGTATGAAAGAGGGGAAGGTACCTAGGGATTGGCAGAGAGCATGTATAGTCCCTTTATATAAAGGGAAAGGGGACAAAAGAGATTGTAAAAATTATAGAGGAATAAGTTTACTGAGTATACCAGGAAAAGTATACGGTAGAGTTATAATTGAAAGAATTAGAGGTAAGACAGAATGTAGAATTGCGGATGAGCAAGGAGGCTTCAGAGTGGGTAGGGGATGTGTAGATCAAGTGTTTACATTGAAGCATATATGTGAACAGTATTTAGATAAAGGTAGGGAAGTTTTTATTGCATTTATGGATTTAGAAAAGGCATATGATAGAGTGGATAGAGGAGCAATGTGGCAGATGTTGCAAGTTTATGGAATAGGTGGTAAGTTACTAAATGCTGTAAAGAGCTTTTATGAGGATAGTGAGGCTCAGGTTAGGGTGTGTAGAAGAGAGGGAGAATACTTCCCGGTAAAAGTAGGTCTTAGACAGGGATGTGTAACGTCACCATGGTTGTTTAATATATTTATAGATGGGGTTGTAAAAGAAGTAAATGCTAGGGTGTTCGGGAGAGGGGTGGGATTAAATTATGGGGAATCAAATTCAAAATGGGAATTGACACAGTTACTTTTTGCTGATGATACTGTGCTTATGGGAGATTCTAAAGAAAAATTGCAAAGGTTAGTGGATGAGTTTGAGAATGTGTGTAAAGGTAGAAAGTTGAAAGTGAACATAGAAAAGAGTAAGGTGATGAGGGTATCAAATGATTTAGATAAAGAAAAATTGGATATCAAATTGGGGAGGAGGAGTATGGAAGAAGTGAATGTTTTCAGATACTTGGGAGTTGACGTGTCGGCGGATGGATTTATGAAGGATGAGGTTAATCATAGAATTGATGAGGGAAAAAAGGTGAGTGGTGCGTTGAGGTATATGTGGAGTCAAAAAACGTTATCTATGGAGGCAAAGAAGGGAATGTATGAAAGTATAGTAGTACCAACACTCTTATATGGATGTGAAGCTTGGGTGGTAATGCAGCAGCGAGGAGACGGTTGGAGGCAGTGGAGATGTCCTGTCTAAGGGCAATGTGTGGTGTAAATATTATGCAGAAAATTCGGAGTGTGGAAATTAGGAGAAGGTGTGGAGTTAATAAAAGCATTAGTCAGAGGGCAGAAGAGGGGTTGTTGAGGTGGTTTGGTCATTTAGAGAGAATGGATCAAAGTAGAATGACATGGAAAGCATATAAATCTATAGGGGAAGGAAAGAGGGGTAGGGGTCGTCCTCAAAAGGGTTGGAAAGAGGGGGTAAAGGAGGTTTTGTGGGCGAGGGGCTTGGACTTCCAGCAAGCGTGCATGAGCGTGTTAGATAGGAGTGAATGGAGAAGAATGATACTTGGGACCTGACGATCTGTTGGAGTGTGAGCAGGGTAATATTTAGTGAAGGGATTCAGGGAAACCGGTTATTTTCTTATAGTCGGACTTGAGTCCTGGAAATGGGAAGTACAATGCCTGCACTTTAAAGGAGGGGTTTGGGATATTGGCAGTTTGGAGGGATATGTTGTGTATCTTTATACGTATATGCTTCTAAACTGTTGTATTCTGAGCACCTCTGCAAAAGCAGTGATAATGTGTGAGTGTGGTGAAAGTGTTGAATGATGATGAAAGTATTTTCTTTTTGGGGATTTTCTTTCTTTTTTGGGTCACCCTGCCTCGGTGGGAGACGACCAACTTGTTGAAAAAAAAAAAAAAAAACTTCTAAACTAGGTAGTAGGTTGGTAGACAGCAACCGCCCAGGGAGGTACTACCGTCTTGCCAAGTGAGTGTAAAACGAAAGCCTGTAATTGTTTTACATGATGGTAGGATTGCTGGTGTCCTTTTTTCTGTCTCATGAGCATGCAAGATTTCAGGTATGTCTTGCTACTTCTACTTACACTTAGGTCACACTACACATACATGTACAAGCACATATGTACACACCCTTCTGGGTTTTCTTCTATTTTCTTTCTAGTTCTTATTCTTGTTTATTTCCTTATATCTCCATGGGGAAGTGGAACAGAATTCTTCTTCCGTAAGCAATGCGTGTTGTAAGAGGCGACTAAAATGCCGGGAGCAAGGGGCTAGTAACCTCTTCTCCTGTACATATTACTAAATGTAAAAGGAGAAAATTTCGTTTTTCCTTTTGGGCCACCCCGCCTCGGTGGGATACGGCCGGTGTGTTGAAAGAAAGAAAGACTTCTAAACTATTGTATCTGGGTGCTTCTGCAAAGACAGTGATTATGTATGAGTGAGGAGAAAGTGTTGAATGATGATGAAAGTATTTTCTTTTTGGGGATTTTCTTTCTTTTTTGGGTCACCCTGCCTCGGTGGGAGATGGCCGACTTGTTGAAAAAAAAAAAAATACTATTATGTGGAATATTAATAGAAAGTTTTACACTGCAACTGATATCATAAAGACGCTTAACATTTGATAAATGACACCAGCAACAAGCGAAAAGTGTCTAACCGGGTGATTTATCAGATGTCATAATTCATGCATAATAATAAGATAACACTGTTTTTATATACAGGTGTGGAGTTAGCAGCAGGCATGTGTGAGGATGTTATATAGGAGTGAACTGAGATGAATGGTTTTTGGGATCTGATGAGCTGTTGGAGTGTAAGCAGGATAATATTTTGTGAAGGGATTCAGGGAAACCGGTTAGTTGGACTCAAGTCCTGGAAGTGGGAACTACAATGCCTGCACTAAATTTAAAGGAGGGGTTTGGGATATTGGCTGTTTGGAGTGACATCTAAACTGTCGTATCTGAGCACCTCTGTTAAATGATGGTGAAACTTTCTTTCTTTTTGGGTCACTCTGCCTTGGTGGGAGATGGCCAATGTGTTAAAAAAAAAATTCTTTAAAATATTTCCCCCTCTATCAATTAACATGTATTACACAATCAGCTCCATAAATTTCAAGTAAATTACAAACTTAGCACAGACAAAAACACTGACCAGGAAGTATTTGTGCAATATCTTGGTGAGCCTGGACAAGAGCATTCTGTAGATGAGAAGAGGTGAGACCTCCCTGTAACAATACGGCACGCAAGTCCTGTGGCTTTGTCCATGACCTCATCATGCAGATCTCTATACCTCGATTCCTCATGGCCCTGGATGAAAAGAAAATATAATATAATATGGTTTGTCAATACTCTTCAAAAGGTTTACACTACTAAATTTAACAAATATCCCATATCCAATAGAGCACATCCATCATACTGTGAGTTACGTTATCAATACAAGCACTACCAACTACAGTGGACCCCCGCATAACGATTACCTCCGAATGCGACCAATTATGTAAGTGTATTTATGTAAGTGCGTTTGTACGTGTATGTTTGGGGGTCTGAAATGGACTAATCTACTTCACAATATTTCTTATGGGAACAAATTCGGTCAGTACTGGTACCTGAACATACTTCTGGAGTGAAAAAATATCGTTAACCGGGGGTCCACTGTACTAGTTTATCTTTTTATACACAATTATCACTTCAACAACTGTGTAATATGATTACTATCATGGAGTCCTAGTTTTAGGTTACCTGAAATGATCTGCATAACAGTGGGTTTCTCATCAAGTGCACAAAATTTTTTTTACCAAATCTCGTAACACTTAGGTATTTTTTTAATTAAACATTATTATTATATCTTGTGAACGACTTTCAAAACTAAAATTTATCATATCCTCTTTTGAAGTTGTTTAACTAACATTTGGAACAGGTTGGTAGGTTGGTAGATATCAACCATCCAGAGAAGTACTACCATCCTGCCTAATGAGTATAAAACAGAAATTTGCAGTAGTGTTATACAATGATAGAATTGCTGATGTCTTTCTTACACTTAGCTCATACTACAGATGCAGTTGTGCAAGTACATGTATGTGTTTATACACCCATCTGAGTTTTTTCTAATTTCTTAATAGTTCTTGCTCTTATAGTATTTCTCTTCACCTCCAATGAGAAGTGGTGAAGAATTCTTCCTCTGTATGCCATGTGTCATAAAATGCAACTAAAATGACAGAAGCAAAGGGATAGAAACCCCTTTCTCCTATATAATCATCCTCTCCTCCACCTCACTGGTCAACCTGATGCCCCAGGAAATAGGCAAAGATAGTGGATTCCGACAAGAATCTTTCGCCAACAGCAAAAGTCAGGTTGACCAGGCAAGTACCAGACGAGAATGACCCAAGGTCAGGCTTCAGGAGTAAAAAAACTCTCAAAACTTATCTTAGGAATGTATCACACAAAAATATTTCTGGTTTTAACTATAACAATTAATCTCTCACAAAAAAGAAATGTATTTCTACAATACTATTCAGTGCTTTTATTTTTAACTTACAGATTGTTTACAACTAGAGGAGGATGACAAAGAAGAAAATGCATTCACTATCACTCTCTCTGGATACCTATCCAGAGGGGAACAAACAAAGGTCCACTGAAATTTAACATCCTTACCCAACCTTCAGAGTACAGGCATGGTACTTCCCAACTTCCACATTAAGTCTGATTTCACACTCCATAATCACATCAGATTCTATGAACCCCTCACCATCACTTAGTCTGACCTCACATGCACATGAAAGATGCTGAAGCCCTATTTCTTAACACCTCTGCCAAGTTACTGGATACTTTTATTTTTCTTAAAACTTTTAGTGCTGGCTGATTGATGTCAGCTGTCATGTAATTATTTTATTGTGTGGCCATGATAAAAGATTACTTCAGATAACCTTCCTTAATGTGGTAGAGCCCTCTCTCTCTTCACTGCTGTGGTTGTTGTACACATCAGCTACTGCCACAATGTAAACACTGTGGATGATTCCACATAAATTTATTGTAAATTCAGTTAATCTCACTGAACAATAGAAGCCAGAATAGAATCACGATCATATGAGATATTGAAATGTAGACCACTGACATCCAAAAGGAATGAATATTTAAGTTAGATGGACTGACTAGTATTCAATATCACCAGAACAGGAGTCCCAATGATAAACTAACTCTTCAGCTGGAAACAAAACACAGGAGACCACATGAACATTGCCTACTTGTCAAACAGGATGCATATGTATCACCATCCCCCAGGATGGCTGGGCAAGTAAAAAGCTCAGAAAAAATGGTGAGAGTTCTCCATCATGAAAAGAGGTCTGTAATAGATGGTACTTGGAAATAGTGAAGCAGAGGAGCCATGTCCTAGATGGATGCTAGAGGGGCTAACAAGTATGCACTAGCCCCTATCAACAAAAGTTTAGCTAAGTGATAAGGGTGATCCAAGACTTAATTATTGGCTCTATAAAAGTTATACAAACAGGAAACTACTATTGATGTTGTCTGTGGAATCCAAATACAGAAATAACACTTATTAACTTATTTCCACCCTCAGTCCTCACTCCCTGTTACAAGATAGAAATCCATTTTCTCTTCTACAAATATTTCTTTAGACAATGTTATCAAGAAGCCCTTCTCTTTGTTACCTGACTCCCAACATCAAATTAGGTACAAGGTAACATCAGATCTACAATGACAACTCTGAAATAAGATAACATCAGATACAACAACAGCTTTGGTAACATTTGATCTAGGATCAGATGTTACCTTTTACCAATGACAACTTGTTACCATGACAACTCTGGTACAAGGTTACATCTGGTTCAATAATGCTGATCCTGGTACAAGTTAATATTTGTTCATCTAATCTCAATGTCCTATCTAGTATAATTTAAATTTTGCTCAACTGAATTTACAATGTTATCTCCAGTACAAGGCAACATCCTATCCCACAATGTCAAATCTGATGCAAGGTAACATTTGGTACCCTGAATCTACATTGAAAATTCTGGTGCAAGGTAATATTTCATTATCTGACATTACAGCTTCAGTGCATATTACCGATGTTAACTCCATATTAAAAAACCCTTAGGAAAATGTTTTGGATACATGTCCTGGATAAGGTATGCACGGTTTCTATGGACATCAACAGTTAGCATAAATCTGACTGGATCATTTGTACTATTTTTATTTTTCCATTCTTATGATAAGTGTTACAACATACCGTGATATCTCTCCATATTGAGGATTCATAACAAGAAAAAGGCGGAAGTTGGGATGAGGTACAATAGTTGGGACAGCTCCATCCACTGCACCTCTTTCACTCATGGTCAGAACACCATCAGGTTCCAGCAAAGCATTAAGCCTATCGAGCACTGATGCAGAACACAAGTTCACACCATCTACAAGTAGCCACTCACCATCACGCACTGCCTGACAAGTAACATAACAGAGAACATTAACTAGATATCTGCATATAAATACTTAATGCAATTAAATTTTACCAATTTTAGTGCATAATAATGTAATGCTGATAATAACAATTTAGAGAATACCTACCTTGACTAGAACTGAATCAACCCAATGAAAGCTGCCACCACCTGACAGACCACCAGATTCTTTCACACACTCTTGTAGCTTTCTGACATGCCTACGTAACTCCTCAACTTTGACAGATGCTGAATTAGTCTCATCAGTTCCACTATTCATTTCAAGACACTGTTGCTCATTCTGTTTATGGCCAAAATATGACAATGATTATTTTAACTGGGACACAAAGAAAGATAGCAACATGAAATGAATTACAAATGAGAATTATTCCTTAATATTATTAAAGCAGAGGAAAAAAGTAAAAATTATCAACTTATATTTTAGATTAAAAGGAAATATATGTGAAAACCATGCTAACATTTTGACCTATTTACAAGCTAAGCTTGCTTATCATTAACTTTTTTTATAGCCTAGAAACAACAGTTTGCTTATGTTACAGTACAGCGAGCCCCGACTCATGACACTTTTCATCCATTTTGCTGATATAAAGATAGATGGTCATTGTGTTTAAAAATATAATGACAATTTAATGTGGAAGCTGTCAAAATTGTTGCAAGGATAGTGTTGCTAGGAGAGAACAGAGCTGAAAGTTTTGTGATGTACTTTTGGAGTGTGAGCATGAGTTAGGGAAAACCTGGTAGCCAGATTTGGGTCCTAAAAGTTGTGGAGTATAGCAATTGCAAAAAAAAAGAGGGAGGGCAGGGGGTGTGTGAATAACAATGGACCACAATGTCTATGCATTCCCTTAAGACATAAATAAGTGACTGTGAGCATGTTTTTCCACTGAGTCATCATCTTGGTAGAAGAAAAGCCTACAAGTAAAAATAAAATAAAGTGATAACCATCTGGCATGTAGTCTTGGTGCCCATTGTCACTTCTGTGGTTATGAGAGTGCCAAGAACTGCCAGCAGGAGGTTGCCTTGGTGATGGAAGTGCACTGCCTCCTCAGATGATGTCCTCTTTGTTTCTGGAGTAGACCATATGGTAAAAGTTAGTATGATATACAGCACATGTAATCTAATTTGTAATAGCACCAAAGTTACAGAATCAGTGAATCCTATACAGGTCATGAAATTGTTGAAGTTACACACACACAAGTCTTTACTTCTCTGCTATATGGAATGCAGATGAATGAAAGAGAAAACAATGCTGCCTAATCTATGCATAGCTTCATACTTTAATCAATATCTTCATATATTTTTTACAATTCCACACTTATTTTTTTATTTTCAGAGATTTTTAATATTTGACCTCTAATATGGTATTCCCAGAGATGTAAACATATTATAAAATATTACTTTATGGATATTTACCTCAACCATCTCTCATTAAAGCAAGGCGACCTCCCCCCCCCCCAAAAAAAAAGTAACATTTACCAAGCACTGCATTGCCTAGACACTGTAATCTAATCATTTACTTCATCTCTATTTGTAATTACCTTTTACTGCTTTATATAGGTTTCTCCATAAGAGCACTGATGCTACACTATACTGTACTAAGTTTTGATACTTGAAATAAATACTGAATCCAGAAATTGGGTTATTGTTTTGAATGTCACTAAAAGTTATAAAAAATTGTACCTGAGAACTCTTTTAGTTGACTGAACTTTTATGTACTTGTATACATGTACGTATGTACAATGTTTATTGTCCTTTTAGTTTTAAGCTTGCCTGAAATGCTTTCCATAAACAGGGGCTTTCCATGTGCAATATTAAATGTTATACATACTTGTATAAACTATGTATCATATGGAAATAATGAATTTCAATTTCAATCACTCATTCAATCACTGCCTTAGCAGAATTGTGCCAACTTCACAATTCAGATAGTGCAGTTAGATTGAAGTCCAGTTAACCAGTTTCCTTAATCTTTTCACAAATTTTACCTTGCTCACACTCCAACAGCATGTCAAGCCATAAAAACTACTCGTCTCTACTCACTCCACTCTAACATGCTCAAACAAGACTGCTGGATGTTTAAGCCCCTAATGCTCAAAACTTCCAACCCTTCCTAACACTCAAAATCTCCAATACTTTCTTCCACACCACTCTTAGTCATCCTATTCTGTTCCATACTCTGGAATATACCTTTGGCAACCCCACACCATCTTCTGATTTCTAAGCTCCTAATTCTCTGCATACTGTTTGCATCACATATAGACGTCAAACATAACACCTCCATTGCATCCAGCCTCCTGCTCACTGCAACATTTAAAATCTAGATCTATATCAATAGACCCCTGGATGCCTTCAAGAGGGAATTGGACAGATATCTAGTCAGTACCCAATCAGCCAAGCTGTGGTTTGGACTTGGTTGATCAGGCCCTAATCCACCGGGAAACCTGGTAAAGGACTGGGCCATGGGGACGATGACCTCCCAGAACACCCAACAGGTAGACACACCACCTACCAACTGAAAGCTCCTTGATTTTATTGCACTGTATTTTGTGTTAGGAGGAGGAGGAGGAAAGGGAGGAGGAAGTGATGGCAGGAGCAGCAGCAGCAGCAGCAGGGAGGAGGTAGGTAGTCTATATGAACTACAGAACAGAGATGCACTGCAGGAGAGCTAGAGATCATAGTCATCCTATTAACTGGTTCTCTGCCAAAACTGTCTACCCTTGAAACCTTCACAGATGGTATGGTTTGTTTGCAATCGTGTCATTACAATTTTTCTTGAGCCACAGATGATGTCTTCTTGAAGCATGCCTTATACACAATATTTCTAATACGAATCTTAGTACTGCTTTGTCTCTGTAGATGCCTTCGTTACAAATTACATTTTCAAATGCTCCAAACTTCAGAACACTCATGACTTGACCTGATCTTTATCTCTTCCTCTCCTAATAAGAACATAAGAATGGAGGAACACTGCAGAAGGCCTACTGGCCCATATAAAGCTTTTCCTGTCTTCTGCCTAAGCAGGTTCTGTCCAATAATCCTGCAGGGATTTTGTACTACCCCCTTGGGTCCTTAGCTCTCCAGAAGTGCTCCTCTGTTTTCTTGTTTCTATAGACTACTTTTGCTATTCCTTCTACTACTACAACATTACTACTATTCCTTCACTAGCACTCCACTCTCTGCCCCTTTTTTCACTACCATTACTGGTTTCTTACTGCTACCTCATGACAGTGTTGAACTACTTCTGCTACTACTACAAAATATCACTATTATTCAAGCTACTATAAAATTATTCCCACCTCCTGTTCTATCTCTCCTGTCCACTGGCTCCGTTCTTATCGCCCTTCTCTGTGCAACTAGTTAATTGTCCAAGTCACAATGAAATGCTGTCATAAGTTTGTCTCCTATGTGTAGGGTATTTGTGTACTGTTCCAGTCATGGTAGCGAGCCATTTTATACTTCGTGAAGAGAATTCATAATTTGGAGATTACTAAAAGTATTATCCAAAGGGTTGAGAAGGAGTTGAGGTGGTTTGGGCATTTAGAGAGGATGGAACACAATAGGATGACTTCGAGGGTGTATAAATCTGTATTGGAGAAAGATGGGGGCAGGGGTCGTCCTAGGAAAGGTTGGAAAGAGAGGATAAAGGTTTTGTATGTGGCCTGGCTTGGACATCCAACAGGTGTGTGAGAGCATGTTAGATAGGAGTGGAAGCAAGTTTTTTTATGACTTGACGTGCTGTTGGAGTTTAAAGCAAGGTAATATTTATGAAGGGATTAAGGGAAACCAGCTAGCCGGACTGAAGTCCTGGAGATGGGAAGTACAGTGCCTGCACTCTGAAGGATGGAAGGATATTGCAGTTTGGAGGAGCATCTGAACTGTGATATTGGTGTGCCTCTGGCAAAACAGTGATGAGTGAATGATGATGAAATGTTTCTTCTTTTTCAGATCCACTCAAGGTACTGATGTATTCTTCAAAAAAATCTGTTAGAAAGGCGCATATAAGAAAAAACTTATTATTTATGTGACATTTCACCCACTGGAGGATTTCATAAATGAATGGTTCTATAAGTTCATATTAGTCTAAGATTAACTTCACTCACCCAACTCACACTTATAATCCACCAAGTTGATAAACTTATATAAATAAAAGGCTCTTTGCTTAATGTCTCTCTCTACTACCATTTAATTAATAGCTTACAGTCATTACACTATACCACAAACTTACTATCATTGCAAGCAGAACAAAACTTGTCCCAGGCCATGAGAATCTTTTTAGCATGCCTATCTTCACCAGCCAAGAGTGCTTCTCTAATAGCTGCCCATGCTACACAACCTGCAGCACTCCCTACTTCACTGAGCTCACGCCCATAGTCCACCTGGAGAGTAAAAAATGAATGGTTCTACAGTCCAAATTAATCTAAGATGAACATCACCAAGCTCACATCCAGTCCAAACGAAGAGTAACAAATTATGTTTTTATTAGTTCACATTAATCTAAGACCAGCCTTACTTAGCTCATGCCCATAGTCCACCTAAAGAGTAACAAATGAATGGGTCTCTTACAGAAGCATACCAATAACAATATTAATACATCCATGAAAATTTTAAGTGAATTTTTCAAAAGTCTGAACCCAGTATATTCAGAGATGTGTTTCCAAAAAAAATTTTATGCATCTTATTTCATTAATTTTTAAACAAAAGAATATCTACTCAACATTTTACATTCAGCACTATTCCTTTTCACTTATGAATAGTATATAATTAAATATTGTTGAATACATATATACCTGCTAACTAAACAGAACGGCTACAATACTGTACATATATGTAGAGGAAGGGAGCAGGCTGACTGTCTCCCTCTCTTCCTCATTTTCACTCTCCTCTTTACTCCCATCCCCTCTCATTGTATCTATGTAATTCAAGACTCTCAAAATATGCTCACTACTCTTACTATTATGGTGAGGGAACAAAGTACCTGACTACTGTAAACTGCCATATTTCACTTCTTCATATGGCACTTATTTTATGTTGCTATACAAATTTTGTTACAAAGTTTACCCCATATCAAAACTGATCATCTATGACATAAAGTTGGGCAAAAATCTGAAAATTATCTGGATTCTGGATCCTTCATGAGATATTTTCCCTCCATGCTTAAGGCATGCCTATTATTTTAGAGGAAGACCTAGTGTAATTTCTTAGTGTAAACACCCACCCATGTGGTCAACTGCTTTGTGGATGTGTTCCAAAACATACTCTCTCTGGTGTTTGTAACTCTTTTTAATTTTATCACCCCATACCTTCTCTCCTAGGTAGTAGGATGGTAGACAGCACCCACCCAGGAAGGTACTACCATCCAGCCAAGTGAGTGCAAAACGAAAGCCTGTACAGTGGACCCCCGCATAACGATTACCTCCGAATGTGACCAATTATGTAAGTGTATTTATGTAAGTGCGTTTGTACGTGTATGTTTGGGGGTCTGAAATGGACTAATCTACTTCACAATATTTCTTATGGGAACAAATTCGGTCAGTACTGGCACCTGAACATACTTCTGGAGTGAAAAAATATCGTTAACCGGGGGTCCACTGTACTTGTTTTTATGATGGTAGGATTGCTGGTGCCTTTTTTCTGTCTCAAACATGCAAGATTTCAGGTACATCTTGCTACTCCTACTTACACTTAGGTCACACTACACATGAATGTACAAGCGTATATATACACACCCCTCTGGGGTTTCTTTTATTTTCTTATTAGTTCTTGTTCTTATATATTTCCTCTTATGTCCATGGGGAAGTGAAACAGAATTCTTCCTCCATAAACCATGCATGTCGTAAGAAGCGACTAAAATGCCGGAAGCAAGGGTCTAGTAACCCCTTCTCCTGTATACATTACTAAAGTTAAAAAGAGAAACTTTTGTTTTTCTTTTTGGGCCACCCTGCTTTGGTGGGATATGGCCAGTTTGTTGAAAGAAGATCTTCTCTCCTAGATAGTAGGTTGGTAGACAGCAACCACCCAGGGAGGTACTACTGTCCTGCCAGGTAAGTGTGAAATGGAAACCTGTAATTGTTTTACATGAAGATAGGATTGCTGGTGTCTTTTTTCTGTCTCATAAATATGCAAGATTTCAGGTACATCTTGCTACTTCTACTTGCACTTAGGTCACACTGCGCATACATGTACAAGCATATATATACATACACACCCCTCTGGGTATTCTTCTATTTTCTTTCTAGTTCTTCTTTTTGTTTATTTCCTCTTATCTCCATTGGGAAGTGGAACAGAATTCTTTCTCTGTAAGCCATGCGTGTCGTAAGAGGCGACTAAAATGCCGGAAGCAAGGGGCTAGTAACCCCTTCTCCTGTATATATTACTAAATGTAAAAAGGAGAAACTTTCATTTTTCCTTTTGGACCACCCCGCCTCGGTGGGATACGGCCGGTGTGTTGAAAGAAAGAAAGAAGAAAATGTGGGATACCAAGTATACCTTGCTACTTCTACTTGCACTTAGGTCACACTATACATGCATGTACACAAACATTTATACATAGTCCTCTGGGTTTTCTTCTATTTTCTTAATAATTCTAGTTCTTGTTTATTTCCTCTTATCTCCATGGGAAAGTGGAACAGAATTCTTCCTCTGTAAGCCATACTTGTCATAAGAGGTGACTAAAATGACTGGAGCAAGGGGCTAGTAACCCCCATCTCCTATATACATTACTAAATTTAAAGAGATAAATTTTCATTTTTCTTTTTAGGTCACCCTGCCTTGTTGGGATACAACCAGTTCGTAGGCAAAATAATCTCTGGATATTAATCATGACACCAAAATGAAATGTTACTAATAATGCTGGCGCTGCTAAGAAGAGAAACAAGCATGAAATTCTGGGAATTAAAAAAAAAAAATTGCAAAGCTTCAATGTGGTGTACGTGTGATTGCCCTGCCAAGTTTGTGGCCCAGTATATCTGGCAGCATTTTTACTTATTGTGGTATACTTGATAAAGCCTACTGTGGGTGACATGTTGTACATGCTTTGATTGCTAAAGTGTCTTTGAAATTACCAATTGTTGATTTACACAACTGTCTCCCTATAAAATTTTTTGGAGATATTCCATCTGACATCTAACTTTTATGTATCAAGTTCCATTAGTAATCATTGCCCTCATTAGTCATTTCAGTGTTTGACAGTAATATCTGATTTATCTTACTATTTCTGGTACTGGTACTTGCTCAATTTAAAAATACTAGTATGTCTTTATTTGCATTCATAGCGTACTTCTCTGCCATTTCCTGTTTCCCTTTATGTTTACTGTATAATATAAAAATAATACAATAAAAAAAATAATATAACCTGTTGAAAGCCACCAAGAAGTTCTGTTACATCCATATCTGAATTAACAGTGAATGTAAGAAGTCGGTAACCAGTCAACCTTGCTAGAAGTTTAACCACAGATGTTTTCCCAACTCCAGACTCACCAACCTTTAAATAAAAAAAAAACAAATATCATAAATCATACAAATTTTAAAATGCAATTATGAAACTACATAAAAGCCACACATCTCTCTAAACATAAATATAATTAATGTCACTGATATAAAAAGCATTGCTCAGCAAAAAAGAATAAGCACCATCATAAGCAAAATCCAAGTCAGTGAAAAAATTGATTCCTTAACGTTTCATGTTGACTGTGAAGAAGTCTTCTTCATTTGTAAGTTAGTCTGAGAGCCACATAACAAAGTATGGTAACATGAGTTTCATAGCTCCAATCTTCCCCACACCTGCATTTTTATCCTTGTTTGAATTTAGTACTTATTCTTTCTGCCATGCAATTCCTCACATAATAAGAGAAGATAGTAAACATTAAAGTAATTACAGTGGTACCACGAGTTTCAGCCATAATTCATTTCAGAAGGCTGTTCAAGTGCCGATACCGAACAAATTTGTTCCATAAAGGAATAATGTAAATTAGATTAGTCTGTTTCAGACCCCCAAAAATACACTTACAAAAGTACTTACAATAATACACTTACATATCTGCTCGAGTTGGGGGCTGTACGAAACTCGGGGTACTACTGTATTTATACAATCAGTTCATTCTGTATAACATGTGTGAATATATTAACTATTAAATTTTTTTTTTAGTGCATCAGCCATTTCCCACCAAGGCAGGGTGACTCAAAAAGAAAGAAAAACCAAAAAAGAAAGAAAAATACTTTCATCATCATTCAACACTTTCACCATCACTCACTGTCTTTGCAGAGGAGCTCAGATATGACAGTTTAGAAGTCCCTCCAAACTGCCAATATCCCAAACCCCTCCTTTAAAGTGCAGGCATTGTACTTCCCATTTCCAGGGCTCAAGTCCAGCTAACTGGTTTTCCTGAATCCCTTCACAAAACATTACCCTCCTCACACTCCAACAGCTCGTCAGGTCCCAAAAACCATTCATCTCCATTCACTCCTATCTAACACGCTCACACATGCTTGCTGGAAGTCCAAGCCCCTCACCCACAAAACCTCCTTTACCCCCTTCCTCCAACCTTTTTGAACCCTGCCTTCCTTCCCCTACAGATTTAAACACTCTCCAAGTCATTCTACTCTGTTTGATTTTCTCTAAATGACCAAACCACCTCAACCTTTCTTCAGCCCTCTGAATAATACTGGGACATCTCCACTGCCTCCAGCTGCCTCCTCGCTGCAGCATTTACAACCCAAGCTTCACACTCGTATAAGAGTGTTGGTACCACTATACTTTCGTACATTCCCTTCTTTGTCTCCATGGATAACGTGTTTTATCTCCACAGATACCTCAATGTACCACTCACCTTTTTACCTTCATCAATTCTATGGTTAACCTCATCTTTCATAAACCCATCTGCTGACAAGTCAACTCCTAAATATCTGAAAACATTCACTTCTTCCATACTCCCTCTCTCCAATGTGATATCCAATTTTTCTTTAACTAAATCATTTGATACCCTTATCACCTTACTTTTATCTATGTTCACTTTCAACTTTCTATCTTTACACACCCTCTCAAACTATCCCACTAACCTCTGTAACTTTTCTTTAGAATTTCCCAAAGTATCATAAGTAAAAGGTAATTGTGTCAACTCCCATTTCGTATTTTTTTTTTTTTAACAAGTCAGCCGTCTCCCACCGAAGCAGGGTGACCCAAAAAGAAAATACTTTCATCATCATTCAACACTTTCACCTCACTCACACATAATCATTGTTTTTGCAGAGGTGCTCAGAACACAACAGTTTAGAAGCATATACGTATATAGATACACAATATATCCCTCCAAACCCCTAATATCCCGATTCCCCATAATTTAATCCCACCCCTCTCCCCAACACTTCTTTTACAACCCCATCTATAAATATATTAAACAACCATGGTGACATTACACATCCCTGTCTAGGACCTACTTTTACAGGGAAGTAATCTCCCTCTCTCCTACACATCCTAACTTGAGCCTCACTATCCTCATAAAAACTCTTTACAGCATCTAGTAGCTTACCACCTATTCCATACACTTGCACCATCTGCCACATTGCTCCCCTATCCACTCTATCATATGTCTTTTCTAAATCCATAAATGCAATGAAAACTTCCCTACCTGTATCTTAACACTATTCACATATATACTTCAATGTTAACACTTGCTCTACACATCCCCTACCCACTCTAAAGCCTCCTTGCTCATCTGCAATCCTACTCTCTCTCTTACCTCCAATTCTACTAAGTGTGTCTGATAAATCACTGCCCTAAACACATGAGTACTATAATGATGTATAGGCTTTTCAAAATGTTTGAATATGTTAACCCTACACTGTTTTAATATATGTCTAACTTTCACTGGCCGTCGCATAGAGCTACAACACTGAAGCCAGAATCTGTCAAGTTGTTCTGTGTCACTCAGATAAGCTAAGAGTGATAAATTTTGGCCTAGATATGAGAGAATAGGTCTCTGTGGTGACTGTGCACCATGTAAAAAAAAATCATGCCCCATGAAGTTTAATTGGTTTAGGACTGGAAGTAGCTTGAAAGTGAGCTCAAGGTAGCAAAAATATTTGATTTTTGTCAATATTTCAGAGGATGGGTAAGGCCCCCCTACACCCCAGTCTGTTTTGTGCATTTTTAATAAGTCCGATTCAATAATTGTGACACTGTAAAATTGACCCATCATTTCAGGAAAAGAAGAAAATCGTGCGCGTGTGCGTGTGCATGTGTGTGTGTGTGTGTGTGTGTGTGTGTGTGTGTGTGTGTGTGTGTGGTGTGTGTGTGTGTGTGTGTGTGTGTGTGTGTGTGTGTGTGTGTGTGTGTGTGTGTGTGTGTGTGTGTGTGTGTGTGTGTGTGTGTGTGTGTGTGTGTGTGTGTGTGTGTGTGTGTGTGTGAATTCAAAACAGAATGCAAATGTAGTGTAGGAGAGACCTGGGGATATAATTAATGAACAGAGAAAATGTTTTGCTGAAATTTTAATTTTGTGTAAAATTGGCCAAACTACTGACTTTTGTACACTTTATAGAGTATTTAGTTGTAATAATTGAATGGGCTGTTTCTTGTGCTCAATCAACAGAACGGAAGACAAATTTCAATGAGCAGCACAACCAACATAACCCGAACCAGCATGGTTTTAGAGCAGGACGATCATGTCTGTCACAGCTGCTGAACCATTATGACAGAATTACAGGGCACTGGAAGACGACCAAAACGCAAATGTGATTTACACAGATTTTGTAAAGGCGTTTGACAATGCGATCATGGAGTGATAGCGCACAAAATGAAGGCCATGGGCATTACGGGGAAGGTACGCAGATGGATTTTCAGTTTCCTAACACACAGAACACAAAAAGTAGTAGTGAACAGGGCAAGATCCAGCATCAGTGAGGTCAAAAGCTCAGTGCCCCAAGGCTGTCCTGGCACCTCTGCTGTTCCTCATCCTCATAACAGACATAGACAAAAACACCCGGCACACTTTTGTATCATTTGCAGAAGACTCTAAAATAAGTATGAAAGTCAGTATGGTAGAGGACACTGAAAAAGTACAGGAAGACAAACAGGGTTTTCCAGTGGGCAGTGGAAAAAACATGATGTTCAACGGTGATAAGTTCCAGCTGCTTAGGTATGGAACGAATGAAGAACTCAAAAGGAGCACTATATACAAAACTCAAGAGGGTCACCAAATAGAACGTAAGGAACTCATAAAAGACCTAGGAATAATTATGTCAGCGGACCTTTCTTTTAAAGACCATAACAAGACAAAGATCACGACAGCCAGAAAAATGACTGGGTGGGTATTGAGAACTTTCAAAACAAGGGAAATAATGCCGATGGTGACACTCTTCAAATCGCTAGTGCTCCCTCACTTAGAATATTGCTCAGTGCTGACGGCCCCATTCAGGGCAGGAGAAATATCGGAGCTGGAACAAAGACAGAAATCATTTACGGCTCACACTGAGCCAGTAAAGTACCTAAACTACTGGGAACGCCTGCAAGTCTTGAACATGTACTCACTGGAGCGGAGGAGAAAAAGGTGCATGATAATATATACCTGGAAGGTACTCGAGGGCTTGGTCCCAAATCTACACACTGCCATAACAACATACTGGAGTGAGAGATATGGGAGGAAGTGTAAAATGAACCCAGTGAGGAGCAGGGGTGTGGTGGGGAAAATAAGGGAACACTGTATCAACATCCAGGGTCCCAGACTTTTCAACATCTTACCAGAAGATATCAGAAACACTGCTGGAACAAGTGTTGAAGCCTTCAAGAGGAAACTAGACAAGTATCTTCACCAGGTGCCAGATCAACCAGGCTGTGATGGATATGTGGGGCAGTGGGCCTCCAGCAGCAACAGCCTGGTTGACCAGGCAAGCACCAGACGAGCCTGGCCCATGGCTGGGCTCAGAGAGTAGATATACTCTCGAAATTTTTCAAAGGTATATATCAAAGGTAGCTAAGAATCTGGTCAAGAGTAATAATGGAATCGACTTATAATAGGTCATTGCAGCAAAATCAAGAATGTATAAACTGCACCCAGACTACTAACTATAAGCCTGCATGATTCCGTAAGTTCCCATCAAATTTCGTACTTTTGGTGCCGTTACCTCCAGAAAAAGATTCTCTACCATTTCAGAAAAAAAATTAATTAAAAAAAAAAAAGTGGACATTGGAGCAATATTAATTTTGGAGGTCTGGACAGTGAACGGGTTAATTATTTCTACAAACATTTGAATTTTGAACTGGGATCTGAACCCTATATCAAAATTTCACTTACAGAAAAATAATTTGTCCTTACCATTATAGCCATCCAGTTCATGCTGACACAATTTATGAGGCTCTCTAGCACAGGAAGTTGGTGGTGCATCATATAGAGGTCTCCACTGTTGTCTTCTTCACTCTGTAAAAAATATATATACAATATTGAAAAGTGTGCATGCAACTTATCAGAAACTTATGCAATTGTTAATTTATCAATACAGTAGGGCCCCTTCTGACAATGTTAATGAATTCCAGATAATTCATTGTAAGAAAATTGCTTGTTACACCAAATCTATTTTCCCCTAAGAAACAATATAAAATATAATAATGCATTCCAAAGAATATTTATCAAATATTTAACATTAAGCACCACTTCTTTCCAAGTGTGAAGGTGGGTAGTGTGAGGGTGAATGATGCATGTTTGAAGATGAATGATACAGGTGTGAGGGTGGGTGTTTCACACCCAAATAAGAGTGTTGATACCACTATACTCTCATACATTCCCTCTTTTGCCTCCTTGGATAACATTTTGTCTCCATTAATGCCACAATGCTCCACCCACCTCTTTCCCCTCTTCAATTTTATGGTTCACCTCATCTTTTCAAAGACCCATCTTCTGACAAGTCCATCCCTATATGTATATAAATACAGAAATGAAATGAAAGAAACAAACTAAATATTGCAAAATCATCAGGTATCCTCATTTGAGGGTATATACAAAATATTAACTTACATAATCTCCATTATGATTTCTGTTGATGTGTGACTGACCAACTTGTAATGATGTTATTGTAATGTGGAATCTTCCAGTACTTTGATAACTTGGATAGTCTTCCCCAAATACAGAGTCATACAAATCAAACACATTTTTCTTGTCTTCACTTGTCCTCATGCGATCAGAATAGATTAAGCCCACATACTGGCCTGGGTTGTATGACTCAGAAGACTGATGCTTGATCATGATGTCACACCACCTGTCAAACATAAACTGTAATAGGCAGTGGGTACAATACAAACACATTCACATTATACTCAGCTGCAGATACAATACAAACATGTAACAATGTACAGGTGTCCCTTGCCTTATGTGATTCTGGCCAATGGTGCATAAAACAAAGTCACACATAGCAAACCATTATAACACATAATAAATAGGGATGTGTTCTCAGACTACACCAATTTCACATTATTTTTTTTCTTGCTTAGTTTTTTACCAAATGAATTTAAAGTCTCTTTTTTCTCAATAGTTCTTGCTCTTCTTTATTTTCTCTATTCTCCATGGGGAAGTGGAAAAGAATCTTTCCTCCGTAAGCCATGCATGTTGTATGAGGCAATTAAAATGCTGGGGTCAATGGGCTAGTAACCCCTTCTCTTGTAGAAAATACTAAAAAAGTGAAGAAGAAAAACTTTATAAAACTGGGATGCTTGAATGTGCATGGATGTAGTGTGGATGATAAGAAAAAGCTGATTGCTAATGTTATGAATGAAATTAAGTTAGATGTCCTAGCTCTAAGTGAAACAAAACTGAAGGGGGTAGGTGATTAATTTAGGAGTATCTGAGAGAGTTAGAGCTAAGGAAGGGGTAACAATAATGTTGAAGGATCAGTTATAGAAGGAGAAGAGGGAATATAAATTTATAAATTCAAGGATTATGTGGATTAAAATGGGTCATAATAAGTATGTATGCACCTAGAGAAGAGAGGAGTGTAGAGGAGAGAGAGAGAGATTTTGGGAGATGTTAAGCGAGTGTGTAGAAACTTTTGAACCAAGTGAGAAAGTAATTGAGGTAGGGGACCTAAAAGCTAAAGTAGGAGAAACATTTAAAGAGAGTTTGGTAGGAAAGTCTGGGGTGCCAGGTGTAAATGATAATGGGGGTGCTTTGATTGAACTTTGTATAGAAAGGGGTTTGGTTATAGGTAATACATATTTTATGAAAAAAGAGGATAAGTATACAAGATATGATGCAGGGCATAACGACAGTAGTTTGTTGGACTACGTATTGGTAAATAAAAGACTGTTGTGTAGACTTCAAGATGTACATGTTTATAGAGTGGCCACAGATATATCAGGTCACTTTTTAGTTGTAGCTACAGTGAGAGTATAAGATAGACGAGATACAAGGAAAATGGAAGCAGCAGGTAAGAGAGAGGTGAAGGTTTATTAGCTAGAGGAGGAGGCAGTCAGGATAATATATAAATAACTATTGGAGGATAGATGGGCTAGTGAGAGTATAGGCAATGGGGTTGAAGATATATGGAGTAGGTTTAAGATTGTAGTGTTAGTGTGTTCAACAGAAGTTTGTGGGTGCAGGAGGGAAGAAGAGTAATTGGTGGAATGATGATGTATAGAGAATAGTAAGAGAGGAAAAGTTAGCATATGAGAGGTTTTACAAAGCAGAAATAATGCAAGGAGGGAGGAGTATATGGAGAGGAAAAGAGAGGTTATGAGAGTGGTGAAGTAATGTGCAAAGAGAGCAAATGAATGAGTGCATGAGATGTTATCAGCAAATTTTGTTGAAAATAGCAAAAAGTTTTGGAGTGAGATTAATAAGT